GCGATTCGTCTACAAGTAGACCCACCTGGTGTCATTTGTTCCATAGGCTACGCATGTTCCTGAGTACTACTCGGAGAAAATCTTTACGACCAGCCCTGGGTCATGTGCTATCGGGATGGGTTCTGATAGGGCGGTAATTGATCTCCGGCTGACCACCTGAAAGCCTACAAGAGGGGACCTTGCTCATCAACTGCTGGCCTCTTATTGAGGTTCTTGGTGGCTTACTTCAACTTCAGTCTATCTGCCTGAGGGAGATAAGGTCACACGCTGATAGTACTCTCATAGTACTGATAGTACTATCTGATAGTACTCTTGACAGTAGATACGTTCGGTCTGACCGAAGGTGGTCGTGTTCATATTTTTGCCAAAGAAGGTTGCAGCTTCGTACCCGACCACCAACACTTTAGCGGGTTTTGTTCATTCACGCTTTGTGGGGTCTAAAATACTTGCCTAGTAGGGGAAGAAGCTTCAATCTCAACCTTGATTTGGGTGGCCTTCACTACGCCATCGACTGCCTCGTTCTCGACATTCTGTGAAGCTGGAGCACGCAACACCGTAGCCGTCTTCTCAGGCGAGTTCTCACCAACTGCAGATGAATTTAGTTGATTGGCTCCGCAGTATACGGGCCGATATCGATCGAGACTCCGAGTGTCTCTTCATTAGGAATTCTAATTTGCGCTCAAGCGAAGTGAGAAAAGATTAAATATGGCGTTCACCCATCCAGACATTGCTTGAAAACTCATCGGTGACATCAGGACGCCCATGCCGTCGGCTGTAGCACGAAGTGGAACTGACAACAGGATATTGTAATTGAGAGAAGTTGCGTGCTAGTCGCTCACTTGTGCACTCGTGGTTTTTTAACTGTGGTTCAGCGACATTTTCTCGAACACCTTTGGATCCATACTTATTCGTCGTGCTTTTACAAGCTCTACTTTGTGATACCAGTTTCCCGAGTATACTCCAGTGCATGCTACATTTACCCTGATTTCCAAATTCCGTGCAGTGTTTCGCCGATATCTAAGCGCCAAAAGTTGTCTAACTCCAATCATCGGAGACATTGTTTGGTCTCACTCGATAGACCATTTCAACGGCTTTCGAACGAACTGTTACTCGTTCAAATCCAACATTTCTTGGTGCAGCTACAGATCTCAAAGCAAATTCACCCGACGAGATCCATAGGCTTAACCACGAAAATTCTCAATCACACCTTC